GCCATATTCATTCAGCCCAATACTCTCAAGGAGCTTCCAGGCAAAGCAACCCACCATGCTGATAGCTCTTTTCATAAGGGTCATTTCACAAGAAAGCTGACAATTTCATTCTTTGTATCGTATGTATGATTGCTCTGAAAAACAACCAGCCACGAACATGGAGCCTCAGAAAAGTTACCCGACAGTGCACTCAAGTCCTCAAATTGTCCATTCCCTCGGAAACATGTACATAATCCGGATGCATAGAAAAAGGAGGCCTACTGCAGTGAGTGATTCTGTCCAACGATACGCTGACAGACCTGAGGTTAAGGAAGCAATTTTGCTCAATGCACTGAAACATTCCCATATTCCTTGACTGTATCCGGCATATCTACGTGCATGGGGCTTTGATTCTCTTCTCTTTATAAAATCCAATAGCTCTCATGAAAAATTGAACTTGTTTGTGACGTTGATTACAATCCATCCCAAGCTATCAAGTCATCCAATCAATGTGATCTTGAGCTTGATGGGAATACTGATTTTCCGTATGAACTCGATGAAAAGTTTAGCTTAGTAGGCCTACTCGAACATGTTGTATCATTTTCTGCCCCATTAGAATGAACTGCACGTTGAACCCCGGCTTTCGATGGCTTTTTCGACGTCAGGGTCACCCAAACCCACGGCGATTTAAGGCAAAACGGATGTAATGACGACTCAGAGTCGTTTTTGAACTTAATCTGCTCTGAACAATTCAACGCAGTACAGAGCTTTGACTGTGTTACTATCAATCTGTTGGCTGACGTTATAACGTACCTCAACAGATACCTCAACTCCAAGCATCGTGCAGGGCACGAGGCAGCCTAACGGGCTTTACATCCCCTCTCGTCCCCTCCCGCATTTTCTCCATTTTCTCAACATACTTTTTGGCTGAGTTCTAAAGAGCAGAATCTCGAAATTACGTGAATATTCGAAGCAAATTGACTATGCATTCTCTACAATAGATCCGCTCCACGTTTTCCTAGCTGACCAGGAAGCTATCAAGCATTACATGCTGTCATTTCAACCTTTCCTCTATGGAACCCTGCTATCGCGCTTCAATTTCGATTTTTTGCAAAAGTCTACGCGGCTAACAAAAAAGCTTTGTTAAGCTACCTACAAAATAGGCTAACTCGGCTGTAACTAATATGATTGTATTCATAATAATTATAACTAATTCAATTAGTCTTTTTGACTTTGGCCCAGGAATCAAAAGGGTCAGTCGAAGAAAACTGACACACAGAGCTTACATGCGCCACCCTTCTCTTTAATCCTTTTCAGTTCTCTAAAATATGAAGTTTGCTCTTCTCTGCTCTGCCCTTCTTATTCCTGAACATTGCTTCTTGGGAAGCGCTTATTCGAACGCATTTTCTCCTAAACCATCTGGAGTAATCTCAAGTTGGGAACTGATGCTTCTACTGATTGTTCAGATCATTGAGTACAATCCAATTTCAGAATGCCATATTTCCATTTTTTGAGAGAAACTCGTAATTTTAATAACTCTCGTAAATGATATGATATATGTATCAGGTTGCTCGGAAAAGAATGCGCGTTAGATTTGTCCCTTTGTTTCTCTCCTACTACACATGATTTTTAAAAACAGTTCTGTCTATTAGGAAAAAGGCATTTTTGACATATTTTGTTTATGTCTACTTTGTTTTTTTTTGAAGAAAGAAGTTTAGGGAATGCTTGGCCAAAAATTCCCTATGCGATCTTGCACGTTATACGACTTCAAGCAAGGCAAATCGGCTGCAGAAACTTATCATCTAAGGCATTTGGCGAAGAAGCCTTGTCAGAAAGACAGTGTCGATGACCAAGAAAAATTTCAAAAACCGCGAAGAAGTCCACTCTGGGTGTCCAGCTACTTTGAGTCGCAACCGGCCGATATCTTCAGAAGAGGAACCCATTCTTTGCGTAAATGTTGGCAAGATGTGATTGATAGTAATGGAGATTATCTTTTGAATTGATCTTGATTAGTCGTTTTTATAATAAAAAAACCTTATGCCCAAACGCGCAATTCTTTCCGAACAACCTAATAGTATATAACACTCAACGTAATTCAGAGGAACAAGTATAACCTGATGAATCATAGACATCTGTGCGAACACTAAAGTACCCTTTCGTGATAAAGCCCAGAAATATTAACAAGTTCACTGCAAATCATGTAAATTCTTTTTGTCCTTAATAGCTTACAATTAGTCATGACAGGCTTCTAGATCGAACAGCCTAAAAGGGATCTGAGAGTGCCTCGACATTGCTGCAGCTCTCCCACTTTCTCCACGCGAGGTGCATTCTCTACTTGAGCGTTTTAGACTCCTTTATCGGAATATTTGCCATCTGCTGTCTAAGTGCGTGTGAAAGGATAAATATCCGTTATGATATTTGATAGAGTTGTAACCGTTTGGGATATCTTGCCAAAGTTCAAAGATTTCGACACTTCACTTATACCGTAAGGCACAATATGTTCACCAAAGCTAAGTTCGCGTGGATTCTCTCTGCTCAGTTATCTCCTTCTACTATCAGTCGTTAAGGTTTTATGTGGTGTAGTGCAAATGACGCACTATCATAGACACATGGCCCAAGGATCTGATCTTAGATCGACATCCGCCCAGCTCGACTGAGCCTTCCATATTTCCGGGGTCGACTTAGTGGTAAGAGACTCGTCCGGATGGACAAAAGCATTGACNTGAGCATCAGGTAGACACTGCAAGTCATTGTATAGACCGGATAGGCATTCAATATGCCACTACGATTCCTAATGAAAGTCGGATGCGGGTGCATGGTGAATTCCATAGGAACGGGGCTGCTTAACACCAAGAGAGCTCAAACCTTTTATTTTAATTAACCACCTCAGATGGAGAAGCTTGCTACGGATATGAACGCGAGTGAAACATTGAAAGATCCAGCCATCTGTTTGAGCACGGGAAAGTATAAATCTGTACATATGAGGTTTCTGTTTTCATTTGTTTTATTCACCCTTATAAGGCAAGCACAGCACTCTGCTGCCTTTCATAGATTCATAGATTCTGGTCTCAGGAACAGCACTGGAAATCTACTTCTGATTGCATGTTCTGATACCTACAGACATGATGGTTCTGATACCTTGCAACGCACCAAATGATTTCCACAAAAAACGGGACTTTTCTACTTATCTAGGCTTGAAAAGCTTTATGCTAAAGCATGTCTCTAGTGGGGATAACTTTGTCGATCTCTACGTTCTCTGTGTTAGTTTATGAGTGAGCTCAATAAGGTCAACTGTAGGAAAAGTAAGATGTGGAAGCTTACAGTACTAAAAAGTACTGAAATCTATTTTGTTTGAGGTTGCTTTGAATAGAGCAATGTTTTTTCGTATTGCTTGATTAAGTTTCAGGAGTCCGTTGTAGCGAGCTTTTTGAGTGCATTCGATAAAGTAAAATAAAATAAAAGAAATCCGTTTATTACCTAATGCATTGCAATATGATCGTATACAAGGATAGCTTCGTAATTTACTCGTTCCTTTCACCGGTACTTCTGTAGTGGCTAGAATCGTAGAAGCTTGAAGTGAATGTGAGACGAAACAATCGAGCGATTGAATTGTAGGCGCAGTCCACGATAAATTTAAGATACGCCTTTTTGGTTGGAATGCATAAGTGTTGGGTGGGAATATGTAGTTCATGGGGAAGAAAATAAGAGGATTCGCCGATTTTGACAAAAGTGCGGCTCCTCAAAGGTAGGGTTAGACGGCTGGACGAGATCACCATGACGGAAATAATACAGAAGGGGTATTCCGACGAGATTTCAATTCCTGCAACTGCACAAAGAGTTGACTACATCATGCCGGAACTGTACGGAGCCATATTTTTTGAATTTCAAAAGTTGAACCAGCAAAAACTTCATAGGATTCAAATTTTTTCATCAGGCTGAAAATGGTCAGAATTATGGTTTTTCAACCACAATAACTTGCCCTGTCTTTGCCAGTATTCAGTCTTCTTCATTACTTTGAATTCTCATCGAGAATAGCGGGCAAAATCTCATGATGATCTTTTGCTTACGCAGCAGATTTCTTGATTACTCCGTGACTTTTCTGAGAATGTTGCTGAAAACGTGACAACCACTTGCTCACGCAATTGCAGCTGTATCTATTCAATTGAAAGGTAGAACGAATTGGTAATGAATATACAACTAGCTTATAGTCATAGCGGAGTCGATCTATTGGGTTTTTAACTATTCCCTTATTTCTTTTTTTTCGAGCTTTTATAGGTTTATGGTGACTGAGACATTAATCATTCGCACGAACAGATGGGCATTCCCCCCAAAAAAGAAAAGTCTTTTTTCATAGTGAGTACTTAAGGTGTCAGAGCATGTTACGATTGGCTACCTGATTACTATAAATTCTTTATATTTTTTACTTTGTAGTAGGCACGTGACCAATCGTAGTCGCACATTATGTACGGACTGCTGGAGGAGATTTCTTGACTACTATACGCAGTTTAAGCCCAACAGTTCGTTTGTCATTGATCAACTCCTTTTTGGAATGCACCGTATTCGGCTTTCATATAGATTCGCAGTGACGTTTTGGGCGCGCCTTTGGCCCATACAACGAAACACGGGGGCCAGCCAACGCATTGGGATCAGAATTTGGTTGGGGTGTAAAAGTTCCGATCCAGACTTTAATTCCTGTACCTTACAAGTGGAGAACTTATCTTGTCATTACACCATTTGCGCCCGGGCGCACGACATCTGATGATATTCTACGAGCATCGAGACAAAAATTCATGCCATCTCTCTGTGAGCGAGCTTGTGTGGATAATCGTGAGGCTACAAAATGTGACGAAGTTCTCGTTTTGTTCCNCTTCGAGATGGAACCCACAAAAAGAAATCGCTGTCTAGGTCCAGCTTTGGAGCGTTTTCATTGACGAAACTGGTTTTCATCACGATTCGGATAATATTAATGTTTAGACGGTACCTGTTACCCTTAATAAAATATCTTTCAGACAATGGAATGGATGCTTCTTCTTAGCAACATCTTGCATTCTCTGACGGAAGGTTTGGGATTAGCCACAAACGCTCTTCTTATATACCTTGTATTGACAAAGACTCCAAAACGACTTACCACTTATTCCATACTTATCCTCAACTTTGCCATTTGCGATCTTCTCACTTGCATGTCTGCATTTTTTGTACAGCAAAGGTATTCATATATTTGTTTGTTTATTTATTACTCTACTATACGAAAGCGTGCTCTTGGAGTAAAAACATTTCAAACTCAAAAATTGAGCATCAAGCAATAGCTGTCTTATCATATGATTGTTTGGTACGATTGTTTGGTACAAAAAGATACGATAACGGAATTTCTAATAGAGCAATATGCAAAAGACTTTAGCTGCTCATGAACACGCTCATGCTCATGCTCATGATCATGTTTGAACATAGGCCTGTTTGGTTCTGCAAGAAAATATGGTGACGGATTTTTTATGAGAAAAAATGCAAAACATGTTTGAACATAGGCCTGTTTGGTTCTGCAAGAAAATATGGTGACGGATTTTTTATGAAAAAAAATGCAAAAGAATTTAACTGCTAATAAATTTTCTGATCAAACAAAATGGAAAAGACTTCAAGTGCTTATAAATTTCCTAAGCAAACGAAATGGAATTGACTTAAACTGCTCATAAAATTTCTGATCAAATGAAATTAAAAAGACTTCAACTGCTTATGGAAGAATCAGTCAAAAACAGAGGCAGAACAGTAATGTAAGCGACTATTCATATCAGTTACCAATCAGCCACGACAAAACGGTGAACGCATAGGAGGTACATATTACCGCTTACAACTAGAGAAAAGGTGGCACAGACTTGCCTATTTCATTCACAGTTTGCAGATGCTGAATTGAACACTAATTTATTAGTAGTAATTTATTTATCAGCTTATTTGTATGTTTAGGTTTTTATTTTTTCTGAGTACACCGGTGCGCAGGCTGTCGGTGAGATCAGGAGCTAGTAAAGTTCATAAGGACTCTGTAGAAAGGCTGAGCTACAATCCGATGCCACCCCCTCTATGAATCTGATGTTTGTATTTTGTTGGTAGGAATTTAGTCTAGGTCAGAGGCGATGTGAAGGCCCTCCACTCAGTTTGTGATGTTGAAAGAACCAGTTCAACCAGTTCAAAGAGGGCGATAAGTTCCCAGAAAAAGCAACTTTTTCGTCGGAGTCAAATCCGCGAGGCAGTAGGTTGCCATCGCTACTTTCTAAGCATTGTGAACGATAACACGCGGTGCGGTTAATTGTAGATATTTCCACTTATGGAAAAAGATGGCTAGGCCAAAAAAGTTGCCTACTTTAAGGAGAAGAAGTATCCTTTTAACCTGCCGAGACGTGACCTGAAATTTGCCTGCTTAAAGAATTGTTTTCCAGGGTAGTGTTTCACAGAACCGAGTTTTCATATCACTGCTTCACAATTTATGATTTTAAAGACCTCTCTTTAGCATTTGCAGTGCCTGCTGTGGGTCAGTGGAAGACAGTTTTGTTTTCTTGTGTAGAGCTGCCCTTAGATAAAAAATTTCCCTATTCTTCTCGAAAAAGCAGTAATTTTTTCTCTCCTTATTCACTCACACCAGGGTCCATAAACCGATGACGTCCCCCCCCCCCCTTCCCTTAGTCCCGAAGTGGATGGTGGCAGTTGATTACGGCGTACATTGGGACATTCAAAGATGTAACGCTCGGGTGAGGCGTATAAAGTAAGGAGCATCTGTGATTAGGAAAAAGACTTCTTTGATTTACATGAAGGGTGTAACTAAGGAGCTGAAGAGAACTTCCTGACTTATCTCTCATTTTGAAAGAGCTGGCGCTGTCAGGCAGGATCAACGTTCCATATAAAATTATAGAGAGTAAAGTTGATGTAATGTCATTCCTGTAATGCCGTGACAGTACCAACACAATACATTTCAGACTTATTCCCGGTGGCACTGCACTTTTCTACTTCTCTCATGGACCGTGCAAATTCTTTGGACCTTTAGCATGCTATATTGGGTAAGGTTTGTTGCCTACATGTTTCGAGAATCATTGCATTTGAAGAAAAACGCTAGCGTTTTAGGTACAGTTTTATGTTGCATTGTTATTCTCACTGGTTATGGAGTTTATTGTTTTCGTTCATTTATCGATACTACATATTAGGGCACTCGCCTCCAAAAACCAAAACAGTTGTAATCATTATTACACTCTTCTACATACCATCATTTTTTCAATTCGTGAGTTTTTTACTTGCCTCAAGTGTATATAGAAAAAATGCTTCAAATTCTTGTTACTACTAAATCACTATTACTATATTAGGTTGCAAAGCATAACATTACGTACATACGTACGTACATTACATTACAAGGTTGCAAAGTATAAGTGGATTTCGTGTGTGCGTCCGCCATCTTGAGGAACAATTATCCGATTACAGACGATTCCCACGAGTACCTTAAAGACATATTTAATGGTAATTTTGGGGTATCCGGAGCATTCAGAAGTTATAAAGCTGAATAAGAAAGTTGTGGACGAGTTCACAAATTTCTCGCGGAGAGGCGAAATTGGACGAGCTGTCAAATGTCTGCCACTGCGTACAGTTGTATACGGAAAGTCAAAACGCGTTGCACTACGGTTACGGGCTTGGACTGCTTCTTGTCTGGTTATTTATTATGGCTATTTCTTTACTGCTAATTACTCAACTGTATACTCAGCGGGGCTCTACGAGATGTCATGCGAAAACTAGTTTCGAAATAAACATAATCCCTCTAACCAGGAAAGGATACCAAGTCGCAGTGGCCATTTAAGATAAGATGTATACCGACGTAGGTAGTTTCGAACGCTGATCTCAAATCTGAATTCCAAATCTGCGAAACGGTTCTGGGAACAAAGTTGCAGGTCCTCTCTCTCCAGGTGTCTTGTAACTTCTTCGCTTTTATACGAGAACCAAGCAGTACG